AGGTGTTAGGGGAATGGGGGCAGAGAATAGGGGACTTGTTTGGGCCCAGCTGTTCAGCTCCAGCTGTTGTAGTCCTGCTCTCATCCCCCCCTCCCCCCTCATGACCTCAGCAGCTGGGGGGGGGAGGGGCAGCCCGGAGGCCTGGGTTCCCTCCCCAGCACTGGGTACCTGGACACCTGGGTCTGCTGTTGGCACTGGGTGGGGCCTGGGTTCTTTCCCTGGCTGGGATGCCTGGCCTCCACCCTTGCCTCTGGGTGGGGCCCGCATGCCTGGCTCCCCATGGGGCGGGGAGGAGCCCAGGCACTTGGGTTCTCTGTGCGTGAGAGCGGTGCGGGGATCCAGGCACCCAGGGCCTGTGGCTGACCCCGCTTCCCCCTCCCACAGCCAGCTGAGGTGAATGTGCTGGTGGGATCAGACCGGGGGTCACTGCTGGTGAACGGGCTAACGCTGGGGGGGCAGAAGTGCTCCGTGATCCGCGACAGTCTCTTGGTGGACGGTGAATTCACCATGGACCTGCGCACCAAGAGCCCCGACGGCCCCACCTTCAACGTCACTGTTGCCACCACCCACAAGAGTGAGCCTGGACTGCGGGGCGGGAGTGAGGGGCAGTGGGGTGGGACTGGGGGGGGGCATGGGCTGGGGGTCAGGAGTGAAGGGCACAAGCAGGGCCTGGGGGGCAGGGGGTGAGGGGCACCAGGCTTGGGGGCGGGCTGTAGGTTGGGAGGGGCACCAGCAGAGCCAGAGGCCTGCGTTCTTTCCCACCCCCTTGCTCAGCAGCTGTTCATCACCACCTGCCCCTCCATCTCCTTGGCAGCAGCTGGCTGCTAACTTTTCCCCAGCAGCAGCAGCTGCAGAGCAAAGGGTCTAGGGGGGCTGGGAACCCCAATGGCTGGGTTCCGTGGGAGGGGAGGGGGCTGAGGGCTTGGAGCTTGGATTCCCCCCTGATCTCTCCCTTCCCCCAACAGCAATTGTGCTAGTCATGGGCAAGGAGGGCATCCACGGCGGCTGCGTCAACAAGAAGTGCTATGAGATGGCCAATCACCTGCGGCGGTCCCAATATTGAGCCTGGCCCCGCCTCTTGCACCCATTGCTCCTCCCCCCCTGCGGTACTACTGAGGCCAGCACCCCTTTCCTTCCCCAGCACCTCGGGGGTGAATCCCCCACCTACCTACCCCCCACCCTCATGGCTGCCAAACCCACCCTGGGGTTCCCCCCACCCTGCCCAGGGGGACCCCCAGAGTCACCCATTTTGGGGTTTTTCACCTTTTTTCTTACTGGCTTTTAATTTTTGGTCTTTTTTTTTTTTTCTTTTTTTTTTTTTTTTTTTTTTTTTTTTTTTTTTTTTGAGAGAAAAATAAAAAAAAGAAGATTCATCTCTGGATCTCAATGGGAGGCCCTGGATTTGGGGGGCCCCCGTGTTTTTTTTTTTTTGGGGGGGGGGGGGGGGTGCCTGGCTACTTGGCTTCTCCTGTCCTTACATGTCGAAGTGGATCCGTGCCCCCACCCCTTAATAAGCCCAGTAGCCAGTAACAAGGGTGGGTGGTAGAAGAGGAAATACAATACCAGGCTTACTGTAGGAGGCTGTGTCTAGTACCATAGTGTCCTGCCTACAATACACCCTCCCATTTGCAGGGTTCATTAAACTAACCAAGACCAGGCCCTGAGGTCAGGCCTAGACTGGGCCCAGTTGCTCCTAGTACAGACCCTGCCATGCCTGTCACTTCAACACCAATTTGGAACAGGAGGGGTGTGTGGGGAGGGGCCTGGAGGCCTGGCTCCCATCTGTAGCAGTGGGTGGGGTGGGCAGTGGCTCCTGGATGCCTGGGTTCCCCACCCCCCCTATCAGCTGTCCAAAGTCCAGGTGCCTG